TATTTATATATATATTTTACGTTAATGTTGAGAAAGGAAGATGTCATAGAGAGATAATAGAATATATAAGTGTAAGATGGGCGTCCCAAAAATAAGCAATAGTTAAAATTCAAAATACTTTGTTCTAAACTGTTATTCCACAACAAATTGTAATAAGTAAAATGTTGTCAGAAGGAATTATAAATTTCCAAATTTATGTTTCACGTTATATTTATTACTTTTGTTATCAATATAAATATAGCCTATGTAATAATAAACGTGTTGGATGTGATCAATAAGATGAACAAAAAAAAACGTTTGAAAGGAGACAGATACAGAGGGATAGCAAATACAAAGGACTTTTAAAAATAATTCTGTAAAAAAAAATGCAAAGAAACTAACAGAAACATTTATAGAGGTACAGGTGGATAACGACTATGGTAATTTCGGAGACAGGTTCACTAAATAATTTTGTTGTGAATCTATCTACTAAGACTAGGCTATAGAGAGATGTGGAGCGGAAAGGAACTTCTAGTTGGTGGAAGAGGACAGCGACACAATGGCAAGGACAGGGATTGATCAATATGATCTTGAACCTAGCTGAAACTGTATTCACCTGTTAGGCCCATTGGTATAGCAGCGCCGCAGACAGCGACTGTCCCCGACTGACCTTTCATATTATATCGATTTGCTGGCCTCTGATAAACATTTGGCAGCCTAATGTCCGGTTTCGGGGCCCCTTTCACAGAGTTGCGTTCATTCAGTTGACCCAGCTTATTGGCGATGTCGTTGCCGATCAGGTTGTTGAAAACACATTGTAAATATGGCTCCGATGTCAGGGCTTCCAAAAGAGACTCTCTTGGCCAAATGATGTACCTACAGTACGAAGATGCCGTCATTGTCACCTGTTTAAAAAGAAATCAATATAAATACTTGTTACAAGTGGGCACACTTAATTGTAAAAAAAATAATGCTGTGTAAAATATTGTTCTAAATATCACTGTTCCTCCAAGCTTGGAGAATGAACATTCGCCAGATGACCTGTTGGTAAACAAGGCGAACATTTTATCTTTTACAGATCTAAATTTTTGTTGGAAACGATCCGCCGCACACGATTCGTCAAGTGCAGTGGCGGATCTGGGGGTGGGGGTGAATATGGTGGGTGGCTAGCCAGCCCCCCCCCCCTTCGGTGACCTCGAAAAAAAAATATAGTCACTCGTCGTGTGTGTGTGTGCTTCTCATGTATATATGTTACATGTAGTAGGCGACTCTCGTAAAACATACACTTTCTATTTAAGCTTAACTTCTTTTCAGATGTCATCCAAGAGCGTCTAGCCGTCAACTAATAAAAAAAAAAAAATGTTATGGAAGGGGGATGCCTCTCTCTAAACCCATGATCAAGGAGGGACAGGAGGACACGTCCCAAAATACTGTTAAAGGGGTGGGGGTTGATCCCTTAATTTTCGTCCGCAATGTAATAATATCATAAGTCAAGAAAATGCCTGAAATTGTTGAAATGATCATGCATAAATGACCCAGTTTTAACGAAGGTGTGCTGTACAACCGGTACTCAATCTCTGCTTACAAACATCTGAATTATTTATAATACACGACTCTTGTGCGCGTGCCTTTATTATAATTTGGGAAGTATGAGAAAAAACTTGTAATAATAATAAGATTGGTTTTCGGCACATGGTAAAGTAAATTAAAACTACATCAAAGACAATTGAATTTTATTTTCAATGAAACATCACAGCGATTGATGTTCATGATCGATGATGATGAATTTTGTTATAACAGAGTGGATCATTTCCGGTCATCTATAGGTACTATTTCCCCAAACGTTCCCACTCAGCCCTTGTGTGGACTACGGTAATGGCATCGAAGTAGGTAGGCCTAAATTAAGTACATCAAAGACAATGTTTTTAATATTTATTTTCTATAGTACATCACACATAATGATTAGATATCTATGGTTTCCGAAAATCATGAGAAATTTGTTTCATTTTTACTATATAATGGTGATGTGATGACGATGAATTTTACTATACAAAAGTGTTATTTCCGGTCATCTAAAAGCTACTATTCCCTAAAATGTTCGCAACTCAGGTCCAACCCTCGTGGGCCTGAGGTGGGTGTGGGCTCACAAAATGTCCCACACCCCAACACCACCCCCACACCCCAACATCTGCGCCCTTGTCAAAACCACGCCCATCCCTTCCCCCGCTTGGTGCTTCGCAAATCGTATTATCCAACCTCCATTGCTAAATCCTAGATCCGCCACGAAACCATTCCATGAAACCACATCTTAGATTATCCGCCCTCTACGGAAAGTTAAATTTGTACTTCTTACGTTACGCAACGTAACAAAATGGATACGGTTCCCACTATCCGTCGCGCAAACGCAATGATTTTCAGGGAGAGCTTTCAAAAACCGGTATGAAATTATTATTTATCGTAGGGCAACCAATGTATTCTACGGTAGGGCTGGGTTGTGTTCTGAATGTTACTTTTCACAGGTCTAGATGGGCATATCTCCCCAACGAGGCCCACCCACCGGTCCCCTCTGGGCGTCACCCCCGTGTAAACTAATAACTTTTTATATGGGGCCTAATATATAAACAGTTTTTGAAAAACGGTTGGGCAAGATTGCATATAAACATTAATGTTTACATACTTATATAAAAAGGCATATGCCATGCAGTAGAAGAGCACTGTCACACCGACTCTATCGAGACGTGGCTATATGATAATGACTATGAAAATAATAATAGTAATAATAACAGCAACATATTGATAACAGCAGCCAATTATAATTATTATTAGGCCTTTTTGAGTGGTGGCTGGCGATGGCACTAACTACAAATCCATCGGTTAGAGTACGCGCAAATTAGCTGTTCCCTTGCGTTGCAGCGCTTGCGTTGCGAAAAGTTGAATTGATTCAACTCTCTTCGCAAACAACGCAAAGACAATCCGCAAACGTTGAGTAGCGTCGGTGTTGCGTTGCGTTGCCAAGTTTACGTCGTCGGTTTCCACTTGGAAGCTGCAAGAACCCTCGCGTTGCGTGACTTTGCGTCGATACGTTGCGTTGCGTCCTAGTGGGAACCAAGCTTTCGTCTCGCTGTACGTCGAGCTTCGTTGTCAAGATTTTTCTTATTGTAGGCAAGGGTGACCATGCCTATAAACTAGGCTTATTCTGGTCAAACTTACATTTATATAATCAATATCGAAAAAAAAGATGAAAATGGCGAATTTTATGTTTAGTGACTCTTTGTGCTGTCACTAACAATTTGATTAAACTGATATATTGCTACACAACTTAAAAAAACTAGGTGCAATTCAAACCTTTGTTTCAATCGGTTAATTGAAATTGTTTCATTCACTTACCCAAATTGGCCTGTTAAACTTCTAAAAGCTTATTATTATTATCATTCTGTCAACTAAAAGCCTCAATTTGAATAATTAAAATGTCCATTTCTTGGCATAATAAAAAAGTTTAGATTTAATTAAATTGGATTGTATTTCCTTGTGAACTACAACAATGATAATACACGAAAGTCGGGAGATTAACATGGGGTCTTTTTGGTAGTGAATGTGGCGGCACACGATCATGTGCACTTTTCAAAAGAGTATACCGTGTATTTTGACACGTACATGAGCCTTATTGCACACAGTCCAACAGCTTAAATGTCTCTTCCAAAAGCACTATTGAAACTGGCATTTCTAGCCATCAGCTACAACAAAATTAGAAAACAGGATAAAACTTATCCGAGGACCAAGTGCAGGGCCGGCGGA